AGCCAGAAAGCGTTAGTGCACAAGACTGCCAGTGCCGTCAGCCAACGAGCATCCACTCTACTAACCACAGTTCAGTGTGCTTGGCAACCAATGGGGTTACACCTTTGGAGGTTCACTTTATGCCATTTATTTACTGCCTGACAATGTGTCTTGATCCGTAAAAGTGTGAAAGTAATAATCCTGGATCCTCAACAAAGATTTTTTTTGGGGGGGGGGAAATTAGTGAGTACTTAAAACTGATTGATAATATAGCACATACCCTATTCAAACATGTTCAGAATTCAGCCTACCAGGACTAATAAAAAACCTAGATGATTCTGTGGCAAAGCATGGTCTCTACCTGGTGACAGCTAGTTTGAATTGGAGTTGATGTGTCAACAAAAAGGTGATTGGCCAAAGTTCCAGGACAATAGTAGACTATGCTTATCATGAATAAAAGCTAACTTGGTTTCCCAAGAGCTTAGAAACACCAGGAGGAGAGCAGGCTGCTATGTACTGTGAGAGGAACTCTCCTAACTGCTTCTTTCTGAGTCTTCTTTCTGATCATGCTAGCAAGTGTCAAGACATAAGACAGCAACCATCACCTTGGTAGTGAGTGATTCAGGATAAAGAACCATTTAAGCACCCTTCATAGGGCTTGAGCATTTTTATTCCAGGGATGTAGCTACAGATATACTTTTATACATCAAAACAGCAGAAATACTAAAAGCTGCCTGCAAAAGGCATCCTTTACTCTCTGTAACTTTAGTGAGTAGGTAATTACTATTTGGCTATGTTTTGGTGAAGCAACATACATAATGTATAATTACTATGGGACCATTCTAAGAGTAAGCTTTTTTTTTTTATTTCAGTATATTATGGGGGTACAGATGTTTAGGTTACGTATGTTGCCCTTGCCCCCCCCAAACCCCTCCCCGCTAAGTCCGAGTTTCAAATATGTCCATCCTTCAGGTGGTGAGCATTGCATCTAAGAGTAAGCTTTTGAATTGTGTTGTCTCTCTTTGGGGATAATGGGATAAGACTAAATTCTTTTTTTGTTGTTTTTTTTTTTTCATTGCTTTAAAATTTTTCTCTCAGTCATCATTTCATATTGTGAAACATCACTCAAAATGCATCATAACTCTTATGTTGCAGAAATTATGTGAAAGTTGGAATAATCTCCTCTTGTACATGAGAATGAAAAATCCAAATTCTCTGCTAATTTCTACCAGAAACAATATCACTTTCCTATAGTCCACAAACTTTTTTTCTCCATATCATAGGATTTAACCTTCTTAATTGTAAAGTCCTTGGTATTAGTAAGCTCCCATTTTTAACCCCAAGCAGACTATTATAGCCATCAATAATTTATAGACTTTATTTCTTTAGATTTTATGCTAGGTCGATAAATATTTAGTTTCCAATTTCAAAATCAACTAGAGATAAATATAAGCTCCATTTATTCTGCTTTATCTTTATAATTTAAAATGTTGCTGTTAACTCCTTTTGTTCTTTGTACTGTATGTTTAACGAAGATTTATTATTTGGGGTATAAATGGCAAATTCAGTTATTCAACTGGACACAGAATCACCATATAGCATATGAAGTTCTGATAAATAAGACCATAAAGTTTAAAAATAATCTTTAAGATAAGAACTTTTTTTCTGCAAAAGTAGTTAACGGAAAAAATTTTCATGGTTCTAAATCTTAAAGCATCACCAGCAAATAAATGAAATGTGGCACATTCTACATATGTGTAGATTTTTATAACTTGCTTTGTTAGTCTGGAATTTCTCCTAAACAAGGTTTTCAGGCAAACCCTAAATAAAATCTTGATGGGAATATTACAGATAGAATTTAAGCATCAAATGAGTGATTCAATTAGTGACCTTGGAAGTCACTTCCATTCCTGAAAGTCTCTATCTTTAGATTTATGATGAGAATAATGGAAATTAACTTGAGGAGTTGTTGACCTAGCTTGACCTGTGAATTTTTTTGTACAAACATAATTTTTTTCAGATACTCTATTAAAATACCTTTGTAAAATTATTGGGCCATAATATCATACAAAAACAGAATTAAGTTTAGTCCCCACCACCAGCATATTGTGGACAATCTCTTATATGGACAGGTATTAATAAAATGAGCTAGCCCATTCTGAGGTAATGGGCAAAAGATCCTGACTGATTAGATCATTCAGAACACCCCGGCAAATTCATTTCCCACTAGTGATGTGAGGTAGTTGGCAGTTGACTCAGGAGACTGAGAACCCAGCCTCCAGCCCTGCCTCTGATTCCACAGGTGTGGTAAGTCTTTCATGCTTTTCTATGTCTTCAGTGCTCCCTCGTGGGCAGACTAGTTTTAAAGCTGCCTCACAATCACCGTGTAACTAATACATGTTTAAAAATAAGCTTTAGTATCTAGGGGAGGAGTCAGTTCTCCGTCAAGGGGAAACTTTCATCATTTTATTTCTTAAAGTTGACTCACATTCAGTTTTTACTACTGGGGAATCACTGAGTTACAGAACAAAGCAATTGATTTGGGGATAAAAGATTTCAAACTTTAAAAACAATTAATTTATTTTTCCTTTCACCCACAGGTCTACCCACGGATAGCGCCGGCATTTTGGCACTACCTGCGGGTAGAAGTGAGTAGCGGGTACTTGAATTCTCCCACCTTTGCTCCTTGCACTCTGCTGGTGTGGTCTGATCCGATGTGCCCATTTTGCTCAAGATGCAGCTGCCATTCTGTGTAAACGTGTTCTCACGCCACCACCATTTCTTAGACTTGGATCAGAAATCTAAATCACCAAAAATACAAGTGCAGTTTACATAAGATTAATCATCTTTCTTAATAAATTTCCAAAGCAGGACCATATCATATGCATCATAATGATAAACAATTAAATACTAAATTATGGAAACCATGCTTATACCTCTTCGTAATCAATACTTTTGATATTCAGAGCATAATTTGTCAGTTTAATTTTGCAATGTCTCAAGGAAAAGGTAGAGTGACTCTGCTTTGTTTCCTTTCTCCCTTTCTTCTGTCCGCCAGGAGCATGAGCAGCTCACCTATTCCTCCACGAGGTCCAAGGCCCCCAGTGTCATCATCACAGGTCTCAAGCCAGCCACCAAGTACGTATTTCATATCCGAGTGAGGACTGCAACAGGATACAGTGGCTACAGTCAGAAATTTGAATTTGAAACAGGAGACGAAAGTAAGTTTCACACAAGGATATGAAGTAAGCTGTTCATTTAATACCATTCTAATTTGACCTGATATTTTAAAACCAGGTGTCCCAAATTTTTAATAGCCTCTTCAAACGGGATTCTGATCATATAAATACTCATACAGTCATTTCAGTTAATGTTTTGGTGCTATCATTAAATACTTTCATGAAATGCCTTGCAGATCACAATTGTAATGTGGCCCAAATATGTCCCTTTATGCAGAATTCGTCACTCTATTACATAGAATCTCAATGGATGGTGTTAACCTACTTGTTTGCCAGTCCTGGCATCATGATACTAATGCAAACTTTGGAAGAGAATAAAGCCATGAATGAATGATTTTAGTAGTCAGTTCAAAATTGTGCATCTTTGGCTTTTCATCTCAGATCAATAAACACAGTGGTCGGGAGACAAACTACACTGAAACGCACATGATAAGTTTAAATATAGATGCATGGCCTTAATTAGAAACCCACATTAATTCCATAGCCTCAACATGCTGAAAACCAAAATGGGAGATGAAGGGAATCGGGCGTTCCAATGTTATGTAACAAAGGCTTTGAAATCTTTTGCTAATTCTAAACCCAGTTCTACCATTGAATTCTTTTTGGCTTTCAGAAATCCATGTCACTGGTATTTTTGTAAAGATAATAGAGGTTGCTTTTTCTGTACACCTTTATGAAAAAATGTCCAAATATATCATTATAAAAATCTGTTTCCATCATTGCTAAAATACCATGTTAATATAATAATTCAAGAGTAGAAAATTTATTATAGTAATTCCTTAGAGATGACATAATAATGGATATCATTTATTCTCTAATAAATGCATCAAATTATGTCAAATATTTTACATGTATTTTCCATTCAAACTTTTCTACATCTAACAAGACAAGTTTATTTTTCTAATTTTACATATAAGAAAACTGAAGTCTAAAGGAATTGAGTAATTTGCCCACATTCATGCAGCTGGTAAGAAGCTAAGCTAAAACTTGAAACTGAGGGCTGTCTTCTTCCAGGGTCTGTGCTCTTCACTCCGCCACTATTCTGCTAAGCCCTATCGTTTGGATTATTATAAAATGCTAATTGTAAGACCATAAAATACGCTACAATTTCTCCAGTTTAGCACTCCCTGGAAGTAAAGCTGCTTGAATTTCAAATTCTATGGCGGAAGGAATGTTTTGCTGTTGTTACAATGATGAACAACATTGATTCATAAGAAGTACTTTGCTACAGCTCTATCTAACTAAAAAGAAGAAAGGTGCTGACATATTTAAGAAAGAAGTCACCCAGCTCTGGGAGAGAGAGTATGCTAATTAATAAAAAGAATACTTGTGACCTGGGTGTTTAATATCCATGACAGTCATTTATAATCCTGCTGGAGACTATTAACTTCTCAAATTAGAGATTAAATTATTGGGAGTAGAGCGTAATGATTACAAAATGTAACTCCACAATAAAATAAATATAAAAATATCCAAAGAACTGTCCCTCCTTTGTGTTAATTTTTGTTTTGTTTTGTTTTGCTTTTGTTTTGTTTTGTTTTTGTTTTTTTCCCATGTCAAGATTTAGCCTAATTATAAAGCCAAGGATATAATCCAAGGAAAGTTTGGTAGAAGGAAGAGTCAACCTGGGGTAGGAAACCTGCAGCCTCAAGGCCACAGGCTGCCTTTTGGATCCTTGATTGTGGCCTAATCCAAAATTTGGATCAACTAAATCCAAATTTTACAGAAGAAATCCCTTCAATAAAGAGATTTGTTCTGCGAAGTTTGGATTTGGTCGAGGTGCCACACTTGGGGGTCTGGAGCGCCACTTATGGCCTTGTGGTTGCAGGTTCCCCACCCTGGGTTGCTTTTAACTTTACATTTCAACTCATCATATTTTCAGGACAAGAATTTCTTGAGGTGCTACATAGAAGAAAGGGTCCTTCCATAGCAGAAAGGTCCCATACTCATCAGTGACTCAGTACAATATTGATTCATTCAATAAAAATGTATATTAAGGTGTCAGACTCTATGTGAGGCCCTGGGGATTAAAAAAAGGAAATAGTAAGAGCTAATAGCCTTTGCCTTCACATAATTTACAGTCTATATTTGTGGAAGGAAAATGAAAATTTGAATTAAAAATACAAGATTAATGACATGTACTATCATAAAGATGTACAAAGGGTGAGATGAGAGCCTAGAGAAGCCTAATTCAGCACAAATAGCCAGGAAAGCCTTCTGGAGAATGAGAAGCTGGGCTCTTTCTTGAAGCAGGAGTAGTCACAGAACAGCAGAAGCACAAAGGCCTGAGACAGCATGAAAACTTTAAAGAGCAAACAATTTGTTGTGGCTGCAGTGAGGAGATGTAAGTGGTAAAATGTTGGGAGATGAAGGTGGAGAGTCGCACAGGGGTCAAACCAAAGGCGCTCTTTAGCCACGTTAAGGGTGCTGGCACGTATCCTGGAAACATCGAGGATCCGTTGGCGGATGGGAACTAGGGAGTAACCTGACTAATAACGCGGGAGACTCTATGCTGAGCAGTTTACACACATGAGCTCCTTTAATTCTGACAAGATTATGCCTCTTCTTAGAAACTTAAGTAACTTCACCAAAATCTGGTAACTTGTGAGTAAATGTACAAGGTTAGAACCCTAGAACCACCTGACAATGGCAGCAGAAGATGGTGAACACTATGTTCTGAATTACTGATTTATTAAGCCCATGAAAGTGGCTTGGATCAGACCCTTGAAGAGACAAAATATCTAAGAAGAATCTGCAAAATATGTTTGTTTAACCTGGAATTTGTGCACATAGAATGGCTCCTGAGTCAATTTATAGCCTAAGGGGAAATCATTTAAAGGATCATTGTTTTTAAATCTGGTTAGCTTTAAATTACATTTTCCAAGCATGCTGTTTATACCCAAAAGAGAACTTCAATGAATAATGCCAAAGTAGGATACGGGTAGGTTGACTATAAATTTACGAATGTGATCATATGCATCTCAATTGATGGCATCAGTCTTTTTCTCTTCATATGCTCCTAGCTCATGTTTAAATTTTTATAGCTTTTGTTTCTCAAGTGCTGGTTGAAATATCATAATGTCAATTTTATTATTAAGTTCTCTTTTGTGTATTATGTTTAATTAATTAACTTTATAATACATTCATATGGATGGGGGGTGGGTTGGGGAGGAGTGATTAGGTACTCTCTCATTTGATGGTCTTGTTCAAATTTTTTAAAGTAAGCAAAATGAAGTAGTTTATAATCCAATTCTCTTTAGCCATATTTTACTTTGTTCAACTTGTAGTTTGCTAACAACCAACAAGGTAATATAAAATATGAAATAATTCCTTTTCAAAATCATAATGTTCTTAACTGACCCCTCTACCAACATAGTGACATCTGAAGAACAATCATGGTGACCCCTCTTGTACTTCCAGACTAGTGCTTGGGTTTTGTTTTTTTTTTTCCCAGCATCAGAATATGCTAGTGGAAACTGGCTAACAAATGTAAAGATTACTAATTAAGGCTGCTAGCACTATAAAATGAGTCTATCTGAACTAGAGTGACTAGTTTCTTCTCTCCCTAAGTTTATAGAACAGCCTCATTACATATGTATATATGGAGATAGAAAGATAGAATTGATAAAAATGTAGACAAATGTATATTCACTCATATATAGTTACAAAATACTTTCCTTTTGCGTTTTAGTGCTCAGATTTCATGTGTCCTCTAATTTCTTGCTGGACTAAGTGTACAGTTAGATCATATGTCCACTAACAGCATTTATTGAGTGCCTATTGTGTACTGGCCTTTCTATTAGACACTGTCCTTGATTGCTCCTCTCTTTTTAGAATAGATTTAACAAAATTACAATAAACCACACAATGAGTAGTTGAGAAAGTAAGAATATAAAAATAATCCATGTGGATTTTCTTAAAAGATAGATGGGAGATAGGTGTTAGAGGCTGATGAGAACCTTCTCAAAATTAAAATAAAATTTATATTATGCCTCAAAGTGTTAACTATACACATATATCCACATACACATGGCCAAATATAGGTTTTTGATTTTTTTTTTGCTCATACAACTGAAACAATGGAAATTTTAACTACCTCAAATTTGTTATTATTGCTGTGCTTATTTTCTGGACTTTCCAATGGAGGAAAAAAAGAAGAGATTAAAAATAAATAGTATAATCATTAATAATATTATCCATACCTTATAAACTGCTTGAAAAAATGTTTTTGACACATTTTCAACAATAATCTGTTAAAAATACACTTATATTTTTTAAAAAGTAATAAAAATAATGTAAAGATAAGGAAATCAAACATTTGTTTTTATTTAAAACACCACCAAAACTTATCTAATATTCAAATGCATTTTAGAATAACAAAAAATTGTTTTATATGTTCATTTTTAAAACCAAAATAAAATATATTCTGCTAGTTTGTGGGCAGCTTGCACTTTTTGCTTAAATACTGGAAAATAGTTTCTGAGCTATCAAAAGAGAGCAGAATCCATAGCTTAAAGCCAATGTTTGAAAGAAAATTAGAATTTTACATATAATAATTAACAATTTACCTCTTCTATTGCCTTAATAATTAGCTAAATGACCCAGGAAAATTAATACATTGCCAACATATATAAGCAATGCACTCCCTTTCCCTGAAAAGATTAATTATAGATAAAATTTTAACAACATGTAAATTTAAGCTTTCACCTGTAGGCTACATAAATCAGTTTTGTAGCACAAAAGCCACATCTGTCAGTATTTCTAAATGTATTATTTATCAGAAGTAGTAGTAATTGTCTAAATTTATATTACATACAATAATCATACAAAAATCATCATGAATATTAACAAACCAAACTATAAATTATTAAATTATAATGGGTATTTCAAAACAAAATCTTATGTCTTACACATTTATACAAAGAATGATATGTAGAAACAAATTAATGAACTTAATCACTTAATTATTTTGAAACCATCCA